TCTGAAATAACTTGAAACTTGTTCAAAATGACTCAAAATGGTTTAAAATAACTTGAAACTTGCAGACATTGTCCAAAATTTGTCAACAATAACACAAATTGTGACCAAAATGACTAAAGATTTGTCCAAAATGACACAAAATCAGCACTGGCAGTTGTTAAAATAATAGTTTGCATGAAATAATTAAGTAAAGCTGAACTGTAAATTATTAATCATGTCAGATGTGTAAAACCGGTTGGTGATCGATTCCATCTGTGCTCCGTTAGTTGAGCCTGTCCGCCATCCAGGCCGTGTAGTCGGGCACGGTTTCTGTTGACGTGGTAACGGCGGCTGTTATCAGTTCGTCTGGAAATATCCGGATATCGATGAGTGAAAGTGAATAAAACTGTGCATTTGAAAGCGAGCAGTCATGCTGGACTTTGCCATCTTCGCTGTAACGTTTGTCATCATTCTGGTCGGCGCTGTTCTCTATTTGTACCCGGTGAGTCGCTGCAAGTTTCAGTGAGCTAGCTACCGTTAGCCGAGCTGTGCTGACACCAGCCTCAAAACGAAAAAACGCTGATTTAACGTTCCCGTTCAAATCAACACGTTGAAACGTCTCATAGGACAGAATTTCAGACGTAGACAGAGTCTTTAAGGTCTTCCGCAGACTTCGGCTTCAATTTAACTCAACGATTTCAAACCCGCCTCAATAAAGTGCAACTTTTAATAAGTCATAATTAGCGTAAATAAGATGAAACACAAAGTAAAAACTTTAAATTAAATGCTTCCAGATACACAATTCAAACGCCGATTTCCCCAAACACAAATAAATTATTCAAAAATCCTCAGTTCTGGCGTATAATATATGTGGTGGCCAGTAAAAAAGGAAGTGTTAAATTGGCATGTTTTTCAATGGGATTCCATATAGGTGAATGTAATGACAAATTACTGGAGCTAGCCGCAGTATACCCCCACAGTCAGACATTAAATATTCACGAAAACAATACAAAGTTTTTAATCTTCTTTCACACAACTTGATCCACTACAATGCACAATTGAAACTCCTTGAAATGAAAACTAATCAAGTTCAGCCTTCAGTGAGTCATGAGACTTTGTACAAATAAACTCTCTGGATTAAAAAAAGAAGACAAGCAATCAGTACAGGCAGAAATCACTTCTTTTACTGACATTAATAGTTATTTTTATTCCTGCTTTCAGTCATCCAGGAGGGCCTCTGGCATCCCTGGTCTCAACCCCACAGATGAAAAGTAAGTTGTCGTGTTTACGTTTGTTTCTATACCTTTATTATTAGACCTTGGAAATGGAAAAAAGGAGCAAAATGTTCAAATAAGGGTGGTGTTGTGGCTCCAGAAAGTTCCTGTAAGTGCATATATGTGGATGTGTCCATATTTCCGACTAAACATACAGTCTTTGGTTGATATTTTACTAACTTTTGAGGCATCAGTAGGATTTGATGTGTCAAAGACAAGAAATGAAATTGGAAATAACAACATACGAGGCTGATTTTTATTCACGGTGTCACTGGATGTTGTGTTTTACTCCTGTCAGAGATGGAAACCTGCAGGACATCGTGAACAGAGGCAGTCTGCACGAGTTCCTGGTCAGCCTCCATCAGGAGTTTGGTTCTGTGGCGTCGTTCTGGTTCGGCGGTCGGCCGGTGGTCAGTCTGGGCGCCGTGGA